TATATATATATAAATAAATAAAATATTAAAAATAATTATTATTTGTTATTGTGATTGAAACTGAGACGAGAATATTCTAATCTTGCCGCAGATTATGTAGATAGTACTATAGTAGATAGACTCTAGTAAAAACTATTTTTTGATATTAAAAATATAATATAAATATATTTTCCACGTGATTAGAAAAAGAATACATAATTACATTCAATTTCCATTCATATTTGTTTGAGAAATAAATGCATTCACAATCATAATTCATAATGTAAAAATTGAATGTACTCATGAATTGCATTCATTGAAAATGAATGATGCATTCATTCCAAACCCTGCTAATTTTATTACAAAAGAAAAAAACTCCATTATTTTAAACTAGAATGAAAAAATTTTTTAAGTTAGAAACGTGATTTTTTATATCTGATTTTTATACGGCTGTAAATTTAATACTCTTTGATCATAAAACCATATTTAGATATTGATTTAATTAAATTTAAAAAAATACAACTATTCAATTTATTTTTGAAGATTCTTAAATATGACAATGATAATTTACAGCCGATTAAAAAAATTATTCAAAAACTGTGTGTAAAAAATTTTTAATTCTAGAAAATTGTTAATAAATACAGTAGAATGCAATAAAATGAAAAAGTGATTTAAAAGGGTAAAAAAAAATTAAATAAAAGTTTCAAAATTGAATTCACAAATAATCGCACAATATTTCAAAAGCTTGATTGACCTAAATTAAAGCGATCGTCCATGCTACTACTATATACGTGCGTCTCACCGGCCTACTCCATATGTAAAATTGATGGTTTTTCACTTGCAACCTTTATTATGCCATTTTTATATATTTAGTGTATGACACCTTTATTTTAAGTTATAAATAAAATTGGAGGTTTGCTGGGGTGACCTCACGTCAGCCCGCCTCTTAAAAAATTTTGGAATTTCTCAACAAATAAATATATTTGGATGAGGCTGAAGACACGTGTCTTCAATCCCATTCATCATTAATAATAGGTTTTTTGAAATTTTTTGTTATTCGTATAATTAGTATAAGTATAAAATTAAACTTTATTCAGCATAATTGGTAAGTCATCTTTTTGTCATAAGTAATAGCTATATATGTATTTTCTGGTGGTTGTGGTCTGTGGATCCTAATAACTTTGCAAAGTGTATCTATTAAAGTATTTTGACATATTTACATTACGATTACATATGTTTACATATATGATATTATGATACATCATAAATGCTATAAGTTATAATTTATAACGTATCTATTCGTTTAAATTGTTATAAATTCATAATGTACCTATCAACAGACCATCACTTAATAGGTTAAGTACCAAAAATGTGACTTCATACATAGAGACATGGTTACGTTTGAACGTTTGGTTAAGTAAAATATATTTATAAATGCGAAAACAAAAATCATAAGAAAAACCACAAAAGGCGTTCGCCAAATTCTGCGGTTACCAGTCTAAGAAAGTAGACGGTAAATTGGGAATAAAATCTATACTGTGATCAGCGTATATAATACCACCGAATACTATCACAATTAAGTAGGTATATTTTATTTTAAACAGATATCATATTTCATCAACATTTTAAGTTTTATTGTCTATGAATTATTGCTCATATATTTTTCAGATTTTTACTTTTCAGTAGTGGGTCAGGCTCTGATCTACTTATGAGGAACTTAATTGAATTTTTAATGAGCGTTTAAAATTAAAATGTTGATATCATTATAAAATTGGTAGTCAAAATATTACGTATTTGTAGTAAAAAATGTGTAAAATTCGTTATTACTTATTAGTTATTATTGAGTGGTTTTTTGTCATTTTTTTATTGTTTTCACAGTAGAGCACCGTTCGAAAAAAGACATCTCAAAAAAAGTTTGGTTACCGTTGATATACATAGGGCAATATAGTACTCAATACTATAAATATTTAAAAATCAATTTCGTTTGGATCAACGTTATAAATTTTCCGATTGAAACGACTATGAAATATGCACCTAGGCATAATGAATATTGTATCAATATATATGATTCCTACCAATGCATCTATTTTAAACAATATTTGAAGCACTACGCATTCTGTCAATCGCGCCAACTGTCAAACGACTGACAGTCATGTCTAATGTCATAAGGTTATATAAGAAAAGTTTAGATTGTTAAAAGCGCTAAAGTTTTATTAGAAAAGTTAACATGGTCGTAACCTTTTCTTAAATTTTCTATTTTTTTTGCGGATCTTTCTTAATTTTTTCTTTCATAAGAACCTTCTACTGACAAATACAAACTCAACAAAAAAAGAATCGGTGAAACAATCCAGTAGTTCATGTGTGACGTCTATACTAAGGGAGATAGGGATTCATTTTTGTACGTATAGATAAATAATAGAAAACACATTACAGCACTTTTCATGAATTTTATAAGAGTCTAACAAAAGTCAACTATGTTGGTATAGATTTAAGAGCACCTGCACATTTTATACATGGAGTGTTGTTGTGTTGTACGTTGTTTTTTTTCGATTAAAAATTAAAAGCAGTTTAAAATTGATTTTATCATAGGGAAATACT